AACTAAGTGTGTGAGCGAGTGAGATTTCTTAAGGGTAGATTCTTCCTCTTTTCATTTGGCCACCTTCATTTTCTGTTCATTTTCTGTGAATTAACTTTCTTCTCCCCCTCACAAAGAGAGAGAATGTGAAAAGCCGAAAGGATTTTACATCTTTACACAAGGGGGGGGGGGGGTTGGCACAGCCTGTGAATCCGGGGTCCTTTCTTTTCAAGCGCTCTTCTCTTTCCCCTTCCTGTAGCTCCATTCAGCCTTTCTTTTCAGAGCTCTCCATCCCCCCCTTCCTTTTTCCATCGCTTTTCACTCTGTTTTTCTCCCCCACCCCCCCTCTGAGGCTCCTTTCCCCCTTCATCCTTCCTCTATTCAGTTCCTCTAGTGTGTGTGTGTGTGTGTGAGCGTGTGTGCGTGCACTGCTTCTTTTTAAATAGCTTTTCTATTTTCAGAGAGCACATGGAACATGTAGGAAGAGAAATAATTTCAGCAAAAAAGGAACGTGAAAGACTCTTTCTAGTTATTTTAGCAAAAGTTATTTTATACCGGGTCTTCATAAGACAGTAAAGCTCTTCTTCTCTTGGAACTGTGATTGTCTGTGCACAAGCAGCACAAGTGTCCCCATATAAAAAAAAACCAAACCCAGCTGCCCATCTGGTGCGTGTCCTGGTGCTGCAACCGCCAGCCATCTCCCGCGAGCTCATCTGGAGCATGGTGTCCCTCAACCTGCAAGCGGCCTTCCGCCTCTTTCTCTGGCTAGTCTCTGCTGCATCTGTGGCATGGGGGGGGGAGGAGGGGGCTCCGCTCTGGAAAGCAACCGCGAAGGCCAACCAGTCTGCCAGTGCCCCATTCATTCAGTGCTATCGTTTCCTGACTTTAGGTAGTCTTCAGAGTAGAGTTGCTGGGCCTGCCCAGCATACCTGAAGCAAAAGATGGATTGTGCTTATGACCTACTGACCAGAGTATGTCAAAACTGACCTGATGGCTAGCAGGGCATGCTGCACAGGGCACTGATGTGAGTGAGGTTGTTTGACAACTTAGCTAAACCTTCTCTAGTTTACTAAAAAGCACTATGGGAAAGTCAGGATGGGCACCGCAGGGGAAGGAAAGTGGAATACTGAGGTTGGTGATAGAGGCCCATTTCTGGTGAATGCTATAATGGAAATACCAAGGAGAAAATAGTGCAGTGTCCTAGACCAGGAGTAGGCAACTTTGGCTCTTTTATGACTGGTGGACTTCAACTCCCAGAATTCCTGAGCCAGCCATGCTGAGGGTTTCCAAACTGAGCCATGCTGGCTCAGGGATTCTGGGAGTTGAAGTCCACCAGTCATAAAAGAGCCAAGGTTCCCCACCCCTGTCCTAGAGAAATGCAGGGTCTCTGCTAGGGGGCACAAAGACCCAGGTGGGAACACGGGCTCTCCTGCAGTTGGCTTTAGGGTGATTCAATGAGGAAGGATAAGCTGAAGGAAGCGACACTGTGCAGAATATTCCAGATGTCCGGCAGATGAAGTTGCTCTGATCTGTTGAGAGCTGGGCTCCAGCTGAGTGGCTGAAGTGTGGACTTGTGGGGCTACTGGAGCAGGTTTTACTGGTTACTGACACATAATGAAATGGACAAGGCCATTTAGCTTGTGAGCATGGCCACCTCCTTATGAGGTGCAGGTTGTTAAAGATGCCTGGGAGATATCTGTGGTCGCGTCCAGGAAATGTTGCCGGCTTCTTTGAGAGAGGGATAGCTCTTTGGTCTTGAAGAAGGTGGTGGCAGCCATTGCTCCTTGCCCCTCAGCAGCTTTTAATTCCATCCGTCGTAGTATCCTTCCATGCTGGCTGTGGAGATTGGGAGTGGAGGGCAGCATATTCTCCTGGTTCGCTTCTTCCTCTCTGGTTGATCCCAGGCTATATTGATGGGGAGGGATTGGAATCCATTATTCTCAGTATGCTGAGGATACCCAATTGTACGTCTTGCCCAAGTGAGGTTGTCAAAGGCCTGGAGGCTTTAGAGACCTGCTGGGGAGAAAGAAACTCAGGCTACATTCTGGTCATCCAAATGGCCATAGATGTTGCCCTAAAAGACCACTCAGAAGCTGCTGTCCGCAATATGTAAACAGTAAAAAGTCAGTGTGGAAAATCATGTGTGGGTGTAGTTTGCGAGCTAAGCTGGCTCAGGAATTCTGGGAGTTGAAGTCCACGAGTCATAAAAGAGCCCAGGTTGCCTACCCCTGGCCTAGACTCTCCTGCTTGAGCAGGGGGCTGGACTAGAAGACCTCCAAGGTCCCTTCCAGCTCTATTCTGATTGATTGAACGCTGGGCC